CGCGGCCCCGCAGGGTGGGAGAGGGCGAGGAGTCTCAGGGGAGAGAGAATCATATTCAGCTGCCTCTTCCCCTGAGCCTCCCTTTCTATAAACTCCTGGCCAGGTGCAAAACCTGCAAGCCACCTAGAGGGTCTCCACTAACGAGGCCACCATAGCAATCAGCCAGCCAGTCACCAGGGGGCCTAGAACCTCCAACCCCCTGCTTTCTAACACCAGGAGCCGGCCTACCCAGCCATCTCCCCAACCCAGGAAGCCATGAGCTACCCAGGCATCCCCCCTCAAGGAGCTGTGGTGCCCGCACCAGCTGGGCTGTGACTCCCGCCCCCGGGTGGGTCAGCCCGGCCTGTGATTGGCTGCTGATGTATCAAATGGAGAGGAGGGGGGGGCTGCCGGTAGTGAGGAGAGGCTCTGAAATGTTTGGCTTCCGAGCAAGGTAATGGGCGGAGTGGGGGTCTCCCCCCCATCTGCTGGCTGCTTTCCAACCCCCCTCCCCAGGGCTGGGCATTGATGAGGTCAATTGGGCATTTGTGTGGTCACTCGCGTGCCTGCTCCTAACACGAGGCTGCTGCTGGCCATGCTGGAGCCAGACGTGTGACTTCCCGGGGCCCTGGCACGGAGGGGTGGGGACAGTTTGCCCCAAGTGGTGAGTCTAAAGCCTCCCCAAAAGCCAGGCCTGCCCTGCCTTTCTTTGGGGTACTGGGATAGTTTCTGCTGGCTCCTGGCCCATCCCAAGCTGTAGTGCAGGCGGGTTGCTGCAGCATCACTAGTTCCAAGTGCCCCTGGCTCAGGACCTGGGCTTCTGAGGCCCTCGTGAGACGTGAAAAACCAGCCAAAGTCGGGTTCTCTTTATTGGCCTTCTGACTCCACTGTCCTGCTTTTCTCAGCAGCCGGGGGCTGGAGACTTAAAAAAAAAGTTGCCTGCGATCCTCATGACTCCGGGAACTGAGGCGTTAGGCAAAACCCCGCCGGGGCAAAAGGCCCCCGGGAGTGACAAGGCCAGTGGTGGGAGGCACGCGCTGTATTCCCCACCCCCCGTCAGAGCCCAGCGCGCCCGGGGCTGTACGAACGTGGGACAGAAAGCGCTGGCAACCTCACTAGCAGAGACCTAGCTGGAGCCAGGCAGGCAGATGGGGGTGCGCAAAGAGCCAGCGCTGGTCCCCCCATGCCAGCAGCCTGCCAGGCCAAGTTTGGGCCGTTATTTGGGCAAAGGAAGGGCTCAAAGAGGCTCGTGAGGTGGCTTTGTGAATATCGGGGGGGGGGGGGCATGGGAGAAAAAATAGAAAGTGGCTTTAGCCTCTCAGCAGAATCCAGCGTCCTTAGCTGTTCGAATGGCGCCTGGAGCCACTTTGTGTCTGTCGCTGCTCCCTTCAAGCCCCCTCTTTCTGGACCCCTCTGAGGCCTGGTGGCAGGGCCCACCACCGTCCCTGGTGAGGGTGGACGCCTCCTGGGACCCAGCCGAGACGGGGGCGCGGCAGAAGGCGATGGATGAAGACTCCGACCTGAGTCCGCTGGAGGGTGACAGTGCGGAGGAGCTGGGCGAGCTAGACCCGGTGAGTCCGGGTGCGTGTCTAGAGCACGGAGCCTCTCTGGGGACTTGCTACGAGGCCGATGGAGACCCCTGCCCGTATTGCAGCGGGGGGGTATCTGGGAGCCGTGCGAGTCGCATGGGCTGGTGGCTGGACACTGGGCAAGGGAGGTTCTGGCCTGGCTCTGTGGCAGGCCTGCCTTGTGACCTGGATACGCCCCATCTGGGGACGTCCGGCCCGGCAGCTGCTGCAAAGCAGAATGTTGAACGCGGGCGCGCCAAAACGACGCGGCTGGCCAGATGGCTGAACCGCTGCAGCAGAAGTCTGGGGGGCAGCCGGGGGCCGAACGCGTGCCACTCAGCCAGGCTGGACTCGGAGCTGCCGTTTTAACCCGAGTTACGCACTCACCTGTTTGGGGCCTGTCTGGCCTCGCCGCGAGCTGCTGGGGTGATCGGCGCTTGGCTTAGCCCAGCCGGGCGTGAACAGCCCTCTGCCCTAAGACTGTGGCCTTGCTGAGGCTGGGCTCTTCTAGGGGGGGCGCGGTGACATCTCGGGGGCACATCCCCTGTGCTTGGGGCTGCGTTGCTCCCCGTGACCTGGGAGAGCGTGTCGTTTTCTGGGCGCAAGGGGGAACATGGCGGGAAGGCACGGGGGGGGGGCACCTGCGGGAAGGCACGGGGGGGGGGCACCTGCCTGTAGCCTCATGGTTAAGGAAGCAACCTACCGGATCTAGCGGAAACCTGGCCTATGGCCCAGCCCAGCCAGCGAGGAACGTGCCACCCCGCTCAGCCGAGAGTGGTGCGTGGAGGGGAGGGGGGTAGCACCTGGCTGAGAACCCAGGCTATCGCTCCAGTGAAGACAGACCCAAACTCTTTAGATCCGGGCTAACGGGCGGCCGCCCAGCATCTCCTGCCTCTGGGTGCCATGTCAGGCCAGCCACGCACCAGGTTTGTTATCAAACCCCCAGCCACAGCGCTCTCTTGCAGGCAACAAATGGGAGACTGGGTAGAGACCTCCCGGCTCCATGCCCAGTCACGCCGCACGCCTCCTGGAGGGCTGTGAGCCAGTTATGGGGGGAAGGGGCGGGGACGTAAACCACCTTCCCTCTCATTTTTGCCATCCGTGTGCAGGATACATTTTGTTCTGTGCACCGAGCCAGGTGCAGATGTGCACCACCCATAGAAACACTTGCTGCCAGCTGTTAAAGGACTGGGCGGCCGCCCAGGCGCTCCATTTCGAGGGAACGCTGGGACAGGCCCGGCCCTGAAGAGCTGGCCAGACAGACCCTGGGGGGGAGGAAAAGGGACTTGCCCCCAGCTCTCCTCTTGCAGCCCTGCCCCTCTCTGCACTGGATTCTCATGCGCTCCGCTTCCTGGCTTTGCTGCGCAGGAGCTGGAAGCCATCAAGGCCAAGGTCCGGGAGATGGAGGAGGAGGACGAACGGCTAAAGGAGCTGCAGGACGAGGCCAAGAACCTCATGCTGAGGTCGCAGGCAGGTAGGGTGCTGCAGCTCCCCGGGGCCCCTCTGGCTCCTGAGAGGCGAGGCTAAGCACTGGGATGAACTGCCCCCAGAAGGATTTCTTGCCGCCAGGCCACATGCTGCCGTGTTTGAGGCCTCAAGGATACAGCCGATGCTACCTCCCCTTAGCCAGAGGTGTGGCCAGCGACCACGTCCAAGGCTCCCAGCCTCGTCTGCCTCCGAACATGCAATCGGCAGGTAGCAATGGGAAAATGAGGGGCATCTCTGCTGCGGGAGAATGGATGGAGACCCCTACATGTGGCTTAGGACACTGAGCATGGGCTCCAGAGTCAGGTCTATGGGTTCTGCCCCCACTTGTGCTACTGATTCTGCCCTTGGTCAAGTCACTTAACCTTAGCCAGCCGTGGAGCTGCTGGATGGATACCCTAGGGGTTGAGGGTTAGGAGGTGAGTGCAGAGCTCTTTGTACAGGAAGGCTGGGTGCTGGAGCTGATGTCTTGGCCATCATCTGGCCATTCTGCTACACCCCATCAGCTCTAGGGCCACGAACCAGCTCCTGGGGCTGAGGGGGAACTTCCCCCCAGGGTGGGTGTTTCATTGTGGTGTCTCTAACCCTGTTCTCCATAGCTCCAGCACTGCAAGAGGCAAGCTATATGGGTTACAGGCCTGAGCCTGTGTGGCAGGTCCTTATCAACCCACCTCCCCCTTTCTACCCTCTGCGGGGGACCTGAGTGCCTCTTGAGGACAACATGCTGCAAGGAGCCAGCTTGGGGTGTTGGGGCAACCCCCCCCCCTTGCCAAAAGGAGCCAGACCCCAGACGAGGATGAGAACAAACACGGAGGTCTGCGAGTCTGGTTCCCTCATGGGCGTGGGCCTCCCTCTCGCCTCTGGAGACTGGCTCCGATACAGACGTCACAAGTGAAATGAGTTTGGCGGCCTCAGCCTCGTTTGGCCGGAATGCCCTTTGCGTGGCAGGAGGGAGCCTGGAGCAGAGCTGGGGCCGCCTCTGGAGACTGGCTCCGATACAGACGTCACAAGTGAAATGAGTTTGGCGGCCTCAGCCTCGTTTGGCCGGAATGCCCTTTGCGTGGCAGGAGCGGCCCTGGAGCAGAGCTGGGGTCGGGCCTGAGGCGCGTTGGCAGGTTTGGGGCAGAAGCGGCAGGGGGTGATGCACATCCTGCAGGTAGAGACGCCTTTGTGTCTTCCACCTTCCCCGTCTGGCTCCGCAGGCCCAGTGAGAGCTGAGGTGTCAGTAATTCAGTCCCTAGGGTTGCCAGGGTAGCCCTCCCACGTGCACCAACCTCAGTTGGTCAGACACCCCGTGCTCCCCGGTTCCTCCTTTCTGCCCCTTCACAGTATCCTCTTCTCTGCAGGTGTCCCCTTTCCTAGGACGGCGGAGGAGAAAATCGAGGCCGATCAGAGATCCATCTACGTGGGCAATGTACGTGGGAGAGGTTGGAAACGAGACCCCCCCCCCTTTGGCCATGTGCCCCAGGCAGAAAGCTCAGCAGAGATACTGCTCCTAAGGGGGGGTGTCCCAAGATACGTCTGTCCCATCCCTCCCCCTAGGAGCAAGGCACGACATGTTATTGGTTGCGCTTAGCACCCCCTTAACCCGTGGGTCTGAGGGCTCACTTAAGAGCAGTTTGTGGCAAGAACTGGCTACTCACAAAACTAGCTAGGCCCCATTGGATTTTGTCTGTTCCCTGGCTGGATGGTCATGGCTTAGACTCAGGTTTCCAGCATGAAGAGTGGGGTGTGCATCCCAGCTGCTAGCATTGCCTTGAGGCCAGCCCGGGGATGGGGGGCGCTTCCTGGATGGGGGAGGGGCATGGATGCCTTGCATGGGCACTGTCTGAGGCTGGGCTGGGCTGGAGGGGGCTGGGCTGGAGGCAGTGTCCAGAAGCGGCAGGCCGGGGTGTTGGCTGCTGGCCAGTGACTTCCCACTGGGGCACTTACTGCCCCCCTGTGGTCATTCCACAGTATAACCCTCCTCCTACCAGACCCCTCCCTTTCCATTTTATGGGAAATGATCCAATTCCAGGCACATCCTAGTGTCCTGGCACAACCAAACTCTGCCCTTGCTTTGAAATTAGGATAAGAGGCGTCTGGCTACCATGTGGTGGTTCTAACTCTTACTGTGTAGGAGATGTTGAACAGACAGACTCAGATGGATGGGTGCACAGACACACATTTCTACACTATATAGACCCATCCCTCTGTCTGACAGAGGGGTCCGTGCGAGGCTGAGGGGGGACATGAGAGCAGTTTTCAAGTACCTAAAAGGGTGTTACAAGGGGGAAGGAGAAAATTGTTCTCCTTGGCCTCTGAGGAAGGACAAGAAGCAATGGGCTTAAATTGCAGCCAGGGAGGTTTAGGTTGGACATTAGGAAAAACTTCCTGCCTGTCAGGTGGTTCAACACTGGAATAAATTGCCCAGGGAGGTTGTGGAATCTCCATCACTGGAGAGATTTAAGAGCAGGTTGGACAGACGCCTGTCAGGGATGGTCTAGATGGTGCTTGGTCCTGCCAGGAGGGCAGGGGACTGGCCCTGATGTGTCTCGTGGTCCCTTCCAGTTCTAGTGATCTGTGATTCTCTTTCGTAGCTGGTGGCAGCCCTGAATAATTAAAAATCCATGCCATTCTGGGACAGGCTGCTAGGAAACGGGGACACGAGCCCTTGGTGGCATCTGAATGGGCTGGGGGGTGTCTTTGCAGGTGGACTACGGTGGAACAGCAGAAGAGCTGGAGTCTCATTTCAATAGCTGTGGGCAGATCAACCGAGTGACCATCCTCTGTGATAAATTCTCCGGACATCCAAAAGGGTCAGTGCTGCACTCTAGGGACCCTTGGGTGCTTGGGTGGGATGGGGAATGTGTTCTGAGAAATGTGCTTGCTCGAGAAATTCCCTTCCCTGAGCCCCATTAACTAAGGGAGCTGCTGTTCCTGTTCCTTCTCCTGGCGTTCGCTGGGTTCATCAGCTCTTTGCAGAAACCTCTCTGACTTCCAGCATCTGCAGGGCAAACAGCTGTGGAATCCGTGGGTTTTAAGGTTTGTTTCATTGTCCTCTTCCTCCACCACTGCCCCTCCCCTTCCTTCCCCCCTGGGTGCAGAGAGTTCTTCTGCAGACCTGGCAGGTCTTTGGAGGCTCACTCGAAGGAGGTTTAGCTCTGTCCTCTTGCTGACGTCTGAAAGCCTGTCTGGAAATGCGTCCATCTCATGTCTGCCTCCGCCGGCGTGCCCGTTCCATCTGGCACAAGCCGGGAGGAAAGGCGCTGCGGAGAACATGTCTGGACTTTCGGATGCTTCGCTGATTTCATGAATGGTGTCAGTCCGGCTCTTGGAATAGGGCTTTTCACTGGGCTTCCTCAGTTGTCTTGGCAGCAGCGCTGCACGAAATACCGTGTCCTGTCCCCCCCACTCCGGCTCACCTGGGGCTGCTGGGGGTTTTTAAGTGACTGTTGGAACAAATACCTACCTTGCGGTAAACGCGGCCCATGTCCGTTCTGTCACGTACGTCTGTTCGGATTTAGTGTAAGCACGGCCACTGTGTGTGTGTGTGTGTGTGTGTGTGTGTGTGTGTGTGTCCGCGTCTGTTGGGATTTAGTGTAAGCACGGCCACTGTGTGTGTGTGTGTGTATTCTGTATAAGAGTGCTGGGCTCCGTGTGTGTTTCCACCAGGTGGCTCCAATAAGGAAGAAAGTCCTTAATGTGATATTGCATAAGATCCATCATCTTCCTGGCCAGGTAATGGCTTAATGTGCTCAGTATTGTCTCAGTCCATATCCCAGGAGAGATGAGCTCTTCTGACCACTTCTCCAGCTGGTTTTTCATCCGTACGCCAGCACTGCCCTGGTCTGCAGAATAAAGGTTGGCCGCCTCCATGTGAGCAATAACCCAGGTCTAGAGTTTTATTTCTCTTAACAAACTTGGCTGCTGCTTTTCGCCTTGCACCGAGCCACTGGGCTGGCTGTCTCCCTGCTCTAGAGAGCAGGCAAGTTTGTCCTGAACAGGCAGACCCTGCGTGGGAGGCTGGGAGGCACTGAGAGAGCTGGAGTCTGCCCTGGGTGGTTTGCAAGAGGAGGCACTAGTCCTGCTGCTGTGGGGGGAATTCACTGCCTGCATTTTGACATCAGTGGGGCTCCGTGCAGGCCTGGCAGTCCGATCTCCTGCCATCAAAGGGGCTCAGAGCTGTGGTGTCTTTTCCCCAGTCCCTGAAGCAGGAGAATTTTCCTTGATTCAAAGTCCCCAGAACGGCCGGGAAGCTCCGCTCCAGCTCCAGGGGCTCTTCCTCGCTCTAAGCGTGCGCTAAAACCCTGCAACAGGGCCCAGTCCTCCTCGAGAGCGGGACTCCTGGCTCGAAATGCTGGACTCTGCCCGCAGCCCGTCCGGCGAGAGCGGCGCTAAGCTCCGTTTCCGGGGGGCGCACGCGGCTACGTGCCACCGAAGCAGTGGTCTGGAGCGTGGCTTATCCGGTTGGAAGAGATCCCAGCCGTTGGTTCCAGCCCTCAATAACTCCAGCCATAATGCAGCCGGGGCTCATGTGGTCTGCTCCCCTCCCCTCTCTCAGCGCAGGCTCGAGAGGTGCCTGGTCGGAGAGCCTGGAGGGGAGCCTGGAGGATGGACTCCCCAGGTTGAGCAGCAGACTGGGATGTTCCCTGGTCACCTAAGGGGGCCGCCATGGTGCGTCCTCCCCAGGCAGCGGTGCAAAGGGAACGCTCTTCTCCCCCTCGCCAGGTACGCGTACATCGAGTTTGAAGCCAGGAGCTCCGTGAAGGCCGCGGTGGAGCTGGACGAGAGCATGTTCAGAGGCCGCGTCATCAAGGTGAGGGCGGCGGGCCCGAGGGGGCAGGGGAGGAGAGCCGGGTGCCCTACGCCAAGGGAGGGATTCGCCTTCCCGCCAAGCCGTGGACACTCGGGGCGGGTGGCTGGTGCTGAAGGAGAGGCCTCTCGGTCCTGAGTCTTCCATGGCGCAGGCCTGATTCGGGGCGTCCAGCCTGGCTCCGTCGTCGAGGGTTTCATCGGTTTGCCCGCTTGCCTCCTTCCATGGAGACGCTGCCCCTGCCTGGCGAAATGCCTTGCTCAGGCGCTGGCGGGAGGCTCCTGGGCAGGAGGTTGGCCGGCTCCCCTCAGGGCGGGCAGTTGGGTGCCAGAATCGATAGGGGAAGGCAGAACTCATGCTCGCCTTCCAGGCCTGCTCCCTGCCTCCCCGGGCAGAGAAGCTGCAGCTGGTGGCTCCGAGCCCCCGGGATACGCTGCCCGTCTGACTAGAGGAGCCCCTCTCCGCGCGCACGCCGCCCGAGGGAAGCGTCGGGGCGGCCGTCCTGGCCCCGCCTTGATCTTTGACGTGTCTCAGGTGCTGCCCAAGAGGACCAACATGCCAGGGATCAGCACGACCGACCGCGGGGGCTCCAGGGGCCGTTTCCAAGGCCGGGGGGGCCTGTCTCAAAGGGCAAACGTCTACAGCACACTGCGAGCCAGGCCCAGAGGGAGAGTGTACCGGTGAGCCGGGGCGCTCCCTGCGGATGGGAGCGGGACTGGGGGATGGAGGAGCCTGGCAGGGGTTTGGTGCGGGATGTCCCCAGCCCCGGTGCTGCGCTAGCTTTGCAGTGGGGCATTTTCCCTGGTCGCTAGGCTAGCCCTGTCAGACCAGTGGCTGGGTGCTCAGCGCTCCAGGAGCTCTGACAAGGCTGGGAGTATCCTCAAGCACTCGGCCAGCCCTGTCCATCCTCTCCCTCTGCCAGGGGGCAGGGGCGGGGGCGTCGTGATCCCCGTTTTCCGAGGGAGAAAGCGGAGGGGTAGCCACCTTCCCCAGAGTGGCACATGCCCTCTCTGCACCAGACGCTCCTGCGAGCTCTCCACATGGTGTCCTGCCGCGTTACAGACAGCGCGCACGTTACTGGCGCACCAGCAGCGGTGACATCCCAGTGCAACCTGGATCCCTGCCAGCGCTTTCAATAGACCTAGGGCGCAGGCCTGTGGGCAGATGCACAAACCATTATCGAGCATGTTGTGACTTCAAAGTGCTGGGCAAGCCTTTCATCAGCGCCGCTCTGCCAGGAGATGGGAAACTGAGGCACAGGAGGGGCGGTGACCTGGCAAGGTAGAGGCGGAGCAAGGCCAGGGGTGGAGATGCAGCATATTTTGCTGCAGTGCTTCCAGGGGTGAAAGGAACTTAAATTTCTTACAGGTACTGTCCCTATTGTAACCCGGGTCCCTGCCAGCTCTTTCAATAGCTCCCTGCTGGCTTTTGCCGCAGCTCAGCCGGCTCTTGCCGGAGCTGCACATGTATGTGTACCTGCTTCCTTCCACCTCTGTGCATCCATCTCCGGGAGCCACACCTGGCCCTGCTCTGCTCAGATCAAGGTGACAGAGGAATGAAAATGAGGCCCAGCTGGCAAGAGCTCCCCTTGGTAGGAAACCTTGGGGCGGGGGGCAGAGTATAGCAGAGCCAAAGCCATTGAATCCGCCCCCAGCGCCATGCATTTGGCTCCGGCCTGGGTGAGTTCTGTGGCAATCCTTTTCCTTGGTTCGTGGGGGAGTGGTTCCTCTCGGACATGGCTGCAGTGATCAGCCCGGGTACACAGCCACACTTAGGGGTGTGCGAGGGCCAGAGTGCAAGAACACAGGCAGGACTCGCTAGAGGCGAGGGGGCGAACCAGCATGAGCCTGGATACTTTTTCCTCCCCCCTCTGCAGGAAATCCAGAGCAGTGTGGGGTCAGAGACTGGCACGGGGGAGAGGACCTGGCAGGATCCTCTCCAAAGGGCTTGTGGAGGTTGCTTCTCCGAGACACCTGCTCTAGAAGCATATTCCTGTGCTGGTCACACGGGCTGTCCCATGCCATTAACGTCACCCCTGTGCCCGCATGGCAAGCGGGAGACAGGGAGCCGCATGCCGAGGCCAACGTGTACCCCGGCGGGGCCTGCGGGCAGCAGCTCTCCTGTAATTGAAAGGCCCAGAAATGAGCAGTGACGCTGGTGGCAGACAGCGGCCCAGGGCACGCGGTACCTGCGAAGGTCCGTCCACCTCGATGGCCCACGCATGCCTGGCTCCAGGGCGCTCAGAGATGAGCTCTGAGACCGTCTCCAGCCCGGGCACAGGCTTCCTGCCTCAGCATTGAAGTGCTGCCGTGCTAGATACTGCTGCATGGCTTTATCGGCCCCCTGTGGCGAGGGGGATTCGTTCCCTGAGCGTAGAGGGAATGGCCGTGCCCAGGGGAAGCAAAGTCTGGTAGAGTACAGCCCTAGGAACTGGCCGCTCCCAGCCCTGCCACTAGCCTGGCAGGTCAGCTCCCCTTCTGTGCCTCAGTTTCCCATCTACTGGCAGAGCAGCACTGATGAAATGCTTCCCCAGCGCTTGGAAGCCCCAGCGTGCTCGATAAGGCGCTTGCATCTGCAGGCAGGCCTGCGCCCGAGGGTTTGAAGTTTATCAGTATCTTGCCCTCCCTCCAGCATCCTGCCAGCCCAGCCAAGGAGTGGACGGGGGCTCCGTTCGGAGCCTCTTTGCCCTGCTTGGCAAATGGATGCTGAGCTACAACCTGTCCCCCGCTGAGGAGACACCAGCCATCGAACAAGCCAGGCTCCTAGGCTCTTCCGCTGCGAGTGGGAGCCGCTGGGGAGCAAGGCGGCCGTGTGCGCTGGGGGCCATCCTGAGGACCTGTGCTTGCTCGTCTGAGGCCTCGGGCGCGCTCGAGTGGCAGGTCTGCCCCACACTGAAGAGCAAGCCAAGTTTTGATGCCGAAGCGCTGACCTAAGGCCGCGGCCTGAGCTGGCCTGCGCTTCCTGACACGGCTTTTGTTCTCGTCTAGGGGTCGGGGCAGGCTGTTGCCATGGTTCTCGCCCTACTAGGCCGAAGGACGGGATTACGCTGGAGACTCCCAACAGGACTGGATTTAAAAATGGGGGGGGGATGGGCGAGGGGTGGAAAGAGAACCTCCCCCAGCTGTGAGAGGTGTGGACGCTTTTAACGTTTTGTAGCGGTGTGGTGGGCTGGGGAACAATGAAGGGGGTGATTTAATCTGAGGGAGAACGGATCCAGGCTGCTCCTCACAGCAGGTGCCCACAGGACTCCATGCCAGAGCCATGGCCTGAGTGCGGTGACAATGTCAAACCCTTCTTGCTGAACCCAGTGTCCTCCCAGGTAGAAGCAACCGCTGATCGCCCGGCATACACGGCGCGCTCTTGGCAGCAATAGGAACAGAGTTCACCAGAGGTTCAACATTGTCCTCATCCTAGAGAACCGGGGGAGGGGGGAGGCTGCATTTTAGGACTCCATAGGTCAGGTTTGGCCTTTGGGCCCCTGGCAGTAGACACCCATCTAGCAGGGATGTGGGTGGGTGGGTGCTTCTGGAGTATTTAGATCGGCTCTGTTGGGGCGAGGCAGATAGAGGGGGCACAGGAAAACGATCCCTGTTAGAAGTGAGCCGCAGAAGTGGCTTCCAAAGGAGTCCTCTATACTTCAGCCAGGCCATCCCTCCTGCCACCAACCTACTGGTGCCTCCGCTCGGCTCTCTGGGACTCACCTCACCCGTGGCGCACGGATGCCAACAGCTCTTTAGCACAGGTAGGCTCTCGAGACCTTCCAAGGAAAGTAGGATCCTTCCACCTTTTGGAAGGGCGGGGTAAGATTCTGGGGCACAACTTAGATTTAGATCAGGCCTTTGTTTTTGTACCCTAGCTCTAAGTAGCCTCCTGCGGGTCTGATAGCGATGTCTCCAGGGAAATCTGTCGAAGGAAAAGATCCCATTAGGATTCTGTCCCCCTCAGTGTGGCCCTGCTCCAGGGGAAAGGCGTGAGCATAACAACATGCGCTGGCTTTCTCAATGTGCTCCTCTTCTGCGTGGTAAGAGCAGGATTCAGCCCTGCAGTCCCGTGGAAGCAAAAGCCGCCTTTGCCGGGTTTCTCTTTAAACACGACTCTATTTTCTTTCAGTCTGGCTTATAGAAGGCCTCTCTACTGGCAAACCTTCCCCCCACCCCCCACGATCTTGTTCTGTAGCTGCAATTCTAGTCCAGGGGCTCTCGGCTTCACTCCTGATGGGCAGCGTGCGAATCTCGTCTCTAGAGACAAGTGTGGGTTTTGCAGGTCTAAGCTTAGGTTCTCTTTATCCCTCTCCCAGTGAGCACAGTTTGGAGGTCTGTGCTTGAAGTCTGGGGCTGAACTAGCAGGGACTGCTGTCAGGCAGGGTGGAGGTGCGGGGAGGAGGTTTTGTGTTCGGATTCTTGCACGGCACCTTGTGTTGTGCAGCCTAGGCTGCTGTGGTTTGCCTCCTGACTTTCAGGAGCGCTAAACTTGCTTGTGCTTTTAAAGGAAGATGTTTCTGGTTTAAAAAAAAAATGGTTAAAAAACCCAATGAACAATGTTACTGCATAAAGTTATACATTTTAGTAGAATTCCAGCACGAACTTTTGGGACCTTTAGTCAGGATTCCCTTTTCCCCAGCGATGGTTTTTGGACAGACGAAGGCACAGTCAGGCTAAGCCTATTTTCAAAACCGATTTCCCTCCCTGGTAACACATTGGCTCATTGAATTTCAAAAATCGAACTCTTCACACATTTACTCTTTGCACTTTTTCTAGCATGAACATCGAGAGGCTGTTGCTTCATTTGTTGGTTCCCCTGAACTAGCCCAAACTTTGGGTTGCCAATTGGAAAGGGGAAATCCAAACTTTTCGCATTTTTTTTTTTTAAAGTCATTTCTGTTGGTAGATCTTGCAAGTCCTAGAACGTCTTGCAAAACCTAACATTGGGCTCGAACATACCTGGCCGTGACCTTTTAAAGACCGTTGTTGAAAAGGAAAGCCTGAAGGCTGGGCTTTGCAAGTGGGAATATTTAACTCACCTTTTTATGTGTAAAAGTTTATGAAAATAGTCAAGTACAGGTGTGACTTGTTTGAGTGGGAGGTGGGCTGGAGGCTGGGAGAGTGAAGTGCTGGACGCAAGTTATTAGATGACATGTAATGATTGAGCTGAACAGATTGCTCTGATCAAGTTCTGTTTGGGAGAAGGTTCTCTTGATTGTCATATTCTATTTATAAAAAA